TGTATAATTATAATTCGAATGTAATTCAATACAAGCATTAGCAGCTATTCGAAAATTTTCATATATTTCTTTATTAGTTTTTGATGAAATCCAAATTTGATGTATATATCTAGGAATTTTTCTTTTAGATTGCTCATTAATAAGACTTTGCCATATATGCATATCAAGTTTTATCATATTACTTCTATTTTCATCTTCTGTAAAATGTTTCATTAAAAATAATCCAGTTTGAATAATATGAATTAAAATAAACAATACAATAATTAAACATATAAGTTTAATGTATCGACCATAGTTGTATCTATGATATGTCCATATTTGAATTTTACTATTATAATTCGATTTTGTATTGTGTTTATATTTTTGCATAATTATTAAATTCTTCCTTTTATTCTTGCTACATTTTTATCAATATGAAATATGAAAAAGAATAGGGGATAGTTATAAAAATAAAAATTCGTTTTTTGTTTGTCCTATAAAGTAAAAGAAAAAATTCTATTTTCTAGAGATCAATTCAATTCGTATTGACTAAAATATACACTTGTTTTATCAATAATTTGTCTTCAAAAAAAAAAAAACAAAGTTCATCTATATTAAATAAGATGTAACCGTTTAGAAATAATGAAAGTATAATAAGCAAGGGGGAAAAAAGCAGATTTTAACCCTTGAAATCTTTGGAAATCTTTAGAAATCTTTAGAAATCTTTAGGAACCTTTGGAAATCTTTAGAAATCTTTGAAAATCTTTAGAAACCTTTAGAAATCTTTAGGAATCTCTAGAAATCTTTAGGAATCTCTAGAAATCTTTAGGAATCTCTAGAAATCTTTAGGAATCTCTAGAAATCTTTAGAAATCTCTAGAAACCTTTAGAAATCTTTAAGAATTCTTCGGAACCTTAAAATGAGGCATGTTTCAGCACCAATACAGCAGTGAATTGGCAGAATTGAATGACATTGGTATTGATCGGATTTCATATTATTGTACCGGTACTGTTACATCCCTAATTTTTCCGTTAAACAAAGGATCTTTTCAGTAAAGGGTGGGTATGGATGTGGGTGTGAGTATGGGTATCAGTGGGTGTCGAAAAAGAAGAAACAGTCACACACGCACACACTTAAGGTGTTGCTCCAGCGACTATTCGGTAGCCCGACATTTTTCACCCCGCCGATTCCATAATGAATGTTAATAAGGATAAATTCTATGGATCGCGTTGCATGCTCTCAATTTATTACAAATGGTATTTATTAACTTCTTCCTTTTTCTGTAGTTATCAACCGTTCATGAACTCAGAAACATGAACTAGAAAAGAAATAGATAGTATAGGAAGAGTTCATGCTCTAACGTAGTCTCATCAGAAAAGGCAAGTCACTGGTATCGGAGAAGAGCTGTCTTTTAACTTATAAAGGGGTGAAATCACAATGAATCCTATCTACCTGAGTAAAAATCCGAAGAAATATGAAGAAAGAAAATTGAAAACAGCAAACATTCATCAATTTATTTAATATGATGTTTTGCATCAGATACTTGATCTATATCTATTAGATATGAATTCGACTTTATGTTAGCAAATGAGAGGATACCATGAATCGAGAAGCATAAGCTAACTTATCCCGCATTTCTCTGTAAATCCGAGAAATATTTCCTTGAAATTAATGAAAGGAAGCAACATGGACTTACTCGATTGATTTCGATATGATAATTGATAACGATCAGATATCTAAATGCAGAAAATCAATTTCAGGTTGATTTGGAAAATTTAACTTCTATTCTAAAAGTGGCAAGATTTTATAAAGGAAACGCGCGACAAAACAGATATTATGCTGCATTTTTCTATTTTTCCGTGGTTAGGTGCACGACATTTCTTAGAAAAAAAACAATAGCACAGTAATGAATTCTATTCTCATGAGATCATAATCGCGCAAAAATCAGTGATTTTATCGACATTTATTGTCCAAAATCGTGAGATTATATTGACATTAAATGTCCAAAGACAACGATTTTTGTCGAATTTTCTCGCAGTTTTATTGAAAACTGCTTCATTATTCTTACATAGATTGACACATAAGCAACTCTATTATGAAAATAATGTGGTGCTTCTACATTCATCGAATCGATGGCTGTATTTATATAAGCTGCAAATGATTCAGACACTCTTTTTTCTCACAGATAAAGTTACCAAATATTATTGTTAAGTATTATTTTTCATCCCATGAAAAATATTTTATGTAAAGGACACCGCGGAATTTCATCATAAATCCACCACCTCTCAGTTTTCATTGTCAATATTATGGAAAGATAGAGCTTGACCTTCTACACCTTTCTGTATATTTAGTGTTATTTATTCTTGATCAGAAAAAGTTTTTTCCAAGACTACATTGTATGGGGGTCTATGAGTCTTTCGTAGGTTTTCAGTGTTTCGGATAATAACTGTAATGTTCATATTTTTTTTTCTATTTTAATCTCAATACCAAAGCTAATAACATAGATCGATGCACTTTTTCACGCTCTACAAAACTACGGTGTGGTGTGGTGTGGCTGTGGTTTTGGGTGGGTATAGGCGGCTGGGTATGGGTGTGTGAGTGAGTTTGAGTTAGGTGTGTACCAGTTCCAGTAACTGGGTTCCAGTCAGGACTGGAACTGGTGCATACCTAGTGTAGGTGTGGGTCAAGGGGGAAAAGCAGATTTTAACCCTTGAAATCTTTGGAAATCTTTAGAAACCTTTAAAAATCTTTAAAAATCTATAGAAATCTTTAGAAATCTATAGAAATCTTAAAAGGAGGCATGTTTCAATACCAATACAGTAGTGAATTGTTAGGATTCGATGGAATTTGGTATTGATCGGATTTCATATTATTGTACTGGTGCTATTATATCCCTAATTTTTCCGTTAAACAAAGGATCTTTTAAATAAAGAAAGATTTCTTTTTATCAAGGTTTGGTAAAGATTTTCGGATGCACGTAGTTCGAATACGCTATTAGTTTTTTGGAAAGTTCAAACTTGATTGCTGAATCAAGTAAATGAATTTCGTCTACGAACGGTCAAACTTAATGCAGAGCATAACTTTTTCAAAAATCTCTTCCTTTAATCGAAACTGCAAATATACAACTCTAAGAAACTAATTGTAGATTCAGATTCCTCAATCTGCATTACTTATAACCAAATTTCATAAAAAGTCGCTATTTTCATGAAAGACCCTTTCTTTTGCGAAAAAAATCAAGAACGTAACAATAACTGTATCATTAATATCAATGCGCCTCAGCATCATCGGTGGGTGAGAACAATTGGTATTGAGTGATACATACTTAAAATCTTTGTAAATCGCTTCCAAAATATTTAATGCCATCAAATATCTTTGAAATACTATATTCCCATTATTTAGAGAAGAGGCAAAAGGAAAAGTCAAATAAGTTCTGTTTTTATGCATGTATGGATATTTTTCTGCAGTCACATGTTTGCGTATATATTCGAAATATCAGATTAACTATGTAACATGGCTATGTATGCTTTGAATTATACTATCGACTAATCATGTTAATTTTAGTTTTTCCTTCATCAAGTTTCGTTTTTTTGTGCTGGAGGTTCGGTCATGTAGTATGTCCGCTAGCAATTATTTGTCTAGTCAATCTTTAAACCTTCGAGTTCTTCGTGACTTCTACATTTTCAACATTCAACTATCAACCAAACTTTCTCTCTGACCTCAATTTCACTCCTTAAACTGTCTTCTATATCTAGTTTTCGTCTTATGGCTTTCTCATGTGAAATGTTTAACTAATCACAGATTTTTTTCAAGGACAATCTTCGTTCAATCGAAGTTTTCATGTTTGGAATAGAGTCAAGTATAACAGTTTGTTTGTGTCTTGTTCGTGTCCACTCTTTGCTTTGTTGACTTTGACCAATCAATCACTTGCCTAAGTAGATATTTTATAATCGTCAATGCAGTGCATTGTATCCTTGGTTAGTTCCATCCTAGCACTAGTATTTTCAATTTTCAGTCGAGAATTCTGCTATTTATAAGCTACAAATATTATGAAGGGAAGCACAACGTTACTTGAGCAGGTTGTACAAATCAGAAAGTAATTTGTTCAGGAGATAGATTTCACAAAGAAAGCGGTCAGCAGTGAATGTTAACCCTGAGAGATGCTGACGAGCGACTAGCCACTGATATTAATGGTTAAGTGATTATGCGCTTTAGACAATTGCTGTAAAAAATCTAGCATGCTTGTTGAGAATACTTGACTAAGATTTAGTAAACGTTGAATTGCAATACATGGTAGATTCATCAGAAAGACCATAAAATTTGAGACAGAAATGATTCTGTATAACAAAATGTTTTGTTTAAAATTTTTCATCGAGATTTCTTATGCTATAAACTGAATGATTCATCGCAATCAGCTAAATCTAAATCGACTGAATCGTAGACTATAAATGATCTTTTGAGAAAGTAAACATGAGCATGTGAGTGACTAGCCGTAAGTGATGTTCCAAAGAAGCATGGTCGAACATCTGATCATGAATGTGAAAGATTCAAGGAAGAAATGCTTCACAAGACTCGATTCTGTAAAACAAACATTGTCTACAGATTGCGTTGGATATGCGAAACTTTAAAAGTTTTTTTCTTTAGGAACTCTGTGAAACAATTTTAAAAAGTGCATTTGACACATACTACCACCTCCAGCAGAGATACTTGTGTTGTCAGTTAAGGAGATGAGACATATTGGAGTCAAAGCGAAACTCTCACTACCAAACTTATAAATTTATAAATTTAGAATGTAAGCTGCTCATGGTGTGCATTGACTACGATATTATAATTTTAAGGTGTTAACAGTGTATGTAGCATGGCTAAAGCTCAAAGTTTCAGCAGATTGTTTAATTGTTTTCTTGATGGGTGGATAGAGATGGTCGAGATACATTAGAAATATACATGTTTCATATTTAAAAAAAGAGATTGTAAAAGGTGTTAGGCTAAAAATCCATGTTAGCATTAATTCCGTATAGAAGGAAAATAGATCCAAAATTCTCACCTTGGTATATTTTTCAAACTTTTTGCAAAAACATGAAATTAGTCTTTTTATGATGTAACCCGAAAAGTTTCATTCAAGCATCAAGAAAACAGAACAAAAGATTCTGCTGAAGTTTTCAGTTTTGACCATGCTACAAACACTGTAGATACCTGAAAATTTGAACATCTTGGTTGATGCACACCGAAACAGCCTATATTTTAAATATGTTAATATGATATTGAGAGCTTTGAATTTGATCCGAATGTGTTTAACCATCCTACTTGCCAACATAAACACGCCCAGTGTTAGTAAATTTTTATTAAAGCAATGCCTATGTAAACAAAAAAAGATCTGTGTCCTCTAAATCAAG